AAAAGGGCCTTACTAAGGAAGAGCAGTAGACGGCACAGTCGCACAGCACAGCCAAGATACCCAGTGCAAGGGGCCTGGCCATCCAGCTGGCCTGCACTGTGCAGAAGCAGAGAGACTACTTCTGTTGGTCAGAGATCATCAGTGCCCATGAGGCCCCACAGGTGAGGATGGGTCCCCCCTGGAGTCTGCAGAGGGCAAGACAACCTGCACTTGGTGGGGTAGTGGGGCAAAGACCAGGTCAGGTGGGAAACCAACCTCTCAACTTAAGCTAGACTTCAAAATTCATCTCCCAAATCCATTCTGTCTGCCCCGTCTCAGCCACTGAATCTCCAAAAGAGCCTTCTCAGCTCTTCCTGACCCTCCCCCCAGCCCTAGCTTGGCAGGGGTAGTTGATCCCAGCACCCGGGACTCTCTGGGCTGTCCCTGCCCAGGGAGAAACAGGGGCCTCAGGAGCCTCTACTCTGGGAGCCCCAGTCAGTCACCCCCACCCCCCAGAGAACAGCCACCTCTTCTCCCAGGCTCCCCCTAGACTTCCCCAGACTCCACTTTCTGTTCTGCACGCCAGCTCCCCTCAGGGTCCCCACCCATCAAGGCCTGGCAAAGGGTCTGGAAGGAGACCCTCCCCAACTCCATCCATGCGCGGGAGCTGGATAAGAGGTGGGGAAATGAATATTAATTTATCATGATTAGGCAAATCCGGCAGGGAGAGCCGATTCCGGAGGAGGCTAAAAAGATGAATTTCAGCAATAAAATTAAATAAGGACGGACGGGCAGCCCCTCCTCCCTCCCGCTTTGCTGATCTCTCTCTTTCTTACAATTTATGAGGCCAATTATGAAGATGAGGTTGGAAGTTCCTGGAACTTCACTAAATGCAAACGGCGGTCCCTGCTGTTCCCATCAAATTAATTAACCGCACGCTATTGATGGCCGCTCAAGGCTGACGCAGGCGGCCCGCCCTGCGGCCGCCTCCACGGACACAAGGACCCAGAGTCCAGAGCCCAGCTGGTGTTCCATCACCTTCTGCAATCCCTGCCTGGCATCACAGGGGACTCCAGGGACCCTCCTCCCAGCCCCCAGGCCTTGCCTGAGCCCTTGACAACATGCACACAGAGCTCTAGGTAGACATACTGACATATAGCCAGTTGCCCACACACATACGCAGATACAAAATCATGAACACGCAGCTCACACACAGGGCCTGGAAATGCACCGTAGGCACACAAACAAATGAACAGGCTCAAGCACAGTGACAGCCCAGCTGAGGGAACTGGAGCCCGCATGGGTGAGGGCAGTGGGGCTGAGGAGTCTCACTGAAAAAGGAACACTATGTGTGGGGCCCTGAGCCTGCTCCGTCAGGGCCGGGCAGAGGTTTCACTGTCACTCAAGCAGTGAGCAGTGACCCTTCACCTGGTGCCTGTTCAGTGGTCCCTCAGTATCCATGGGGGATTGGTTTCAGGACCTCCCATGGATACCAAAATCTGCAGATGTTCAAGTCCCTTATAAAATGGTGTAGCATTTGCATATAACTACACATCCTCTGGTATACTTTAAATCTCTCTAGATTACTTATAAGATCTAATACAATGAAATGCTTTGTGAATAGCTGTTATACTGTATTGTTTAGGGAATAACCACAAGGGGAAAAAGTCTGTACATGTTTATAGTAAGTTGCAACCATACACATCAGCAACAATGTAACTTTAAAAATATTTTTCATCTGCAGTTGAATAAATCTGCAGATGCAAAACCTGCAGATATGCAGGGTCAACTGTACTGTCTCCAGTGGCATCCTCAGAGCCCTTTCCAGTCTCTTAAGCCCTGGTCCTCTCCTCATCTTCTGGCCTTTTTCAGGACTGTTTCCTCTAGGTCTTTTCTGGCCTGCACTGACCTCCACTGTGGGGGACCAGGGCTTGCAGTGCCCCTAGTTCAAATGATGGGGATGAGGCTTTGCCGAGTCTCAGGCCAGCTTCGGGTTTTAGCTTGGGGGTCCCCCTGTCCCAGAACTCAGATACAGGATTGTCCTGTGGCTCAGGGATTCTGAAAAAACCAGCTGGCTGGTGCCTTGACTGAAGGGACAGTGGACATAGGGCTAAACCCATAGGGCTGAGCCCATTCTGGGCCTGGCACAGCTCCTGGATGTCTGTAGAGTGTGGGTAGCATTAGGTACCCCAACAGCTGTCATTTCCATGTGAAGTTGATCTCTGAGTGGTAGGGAGGGCCTGGAAAGGTGCTCTCCTTATGGGGGAGTGAAGAGTAAGTAAGGCCAATGTCTTCTCCAAGTTGTAATCCCTAGTCCTGCCAAGAGGCATCCCATTTCCACTTAAAGGAACAGGAATTCCATAACTCTCCTGGAGATGCAAGACAAAGGGCCGGTTTTCCATTCCCAGCCCTTAGATCCTGGAGGGCTGGACATGGCTGGGCTTGCCCACCTTGCCATGTCCACTCCAGACCAGGAAGGCCCCTGACCCTGTCCCTACAGCTGCTCCCCAATGAGCAGCCAGAACCCAGGCATAAACTTTGGCTTTATCTTGCTCCCCTTTCAGTGCAAGTCTTGGGCCAAGGTCAACGTCATCACCCCAGGCCTTGGGAAAAGATCAGGCTCCCAGTTTGGCAGGGTAGGGGCAGAGCAGCCCAGAGAGGATTGTATCTTGGACACAAAGTATGAGACAGAAACTGACATTAAGGGAGGTTCAAACTGGCAGGTGGGACCCAGGGCTTTACCTACCTACTGCATGACCCTCCCCTATTCCAGGCATATGAGGCTTCCTCCCCTTCCCCACACCCCACTGCACTTAGGGGGCCCTTCCACCTCACAGCAGGGCCTGCTCACTTCGTACAGGAGAAACCAAGACACCCGTCTACTTATTGGTCCTCTATTATTGCAGTAACAGATTGCCACATATTTAGTAGTTTAAAACAGTTATTCCCACAGTTGTTGTTTTGAAGCCTGACACTGGTCTCACTAGAATAAAATCAAGGTGTTGACAGCTGCATTCTATTATGAAGACTCTAGAGCAGAATGTTTCCTTGCCTCCTCCAGCTTCTAGAGGCCACCCACAGTCCTCAGCTGGTGGCCCCTTTCTCTATCATGGAAGCCAGAAACATTGCATTCTCTGACCTTTCTTTGTTGCATCTCTCTCTGACTATAGCCAGGAAATGTTCTTCACTTTTAAGGATTCATGATTAGATTGGGCCCCTGGATAATCCAGGATAATGTTTTCTCCAACCTTAAGCACATCTGCAAGGTCCCTTTCATCAGTAAGGTAACATATCCACAGGTATCAGGGATTAGAACATAAGACATCTTTGGGAGACCATTACTCTACCATACATGTGATCTGACCATGGACTTTGGCTCAGGGACAGAATGACAATGGCTGGACTAGGGGCAGGAAACAAGATTGTGATGCCTGTCTCATCTTCCTCAGGACAGGTGGTGATTGGATGGTGATTTTGGGGTGCTCAGTTGCTAGACAGAATGTCAGTTCCCACCAGTGCTCTGAATTCAGTCTCCCTTTCCAACAGGACAGGGCACTGGGCTGAAAACCAGGTTCAGGCTCTGAAGTGGCTGGGGAATCCCCCAATCACTCTGCTTAGTTTGGACTCAGAGAACCACCCTTCCCCCAAACCAGGCAGCCAAGAGTATGCTCCTCTCAGGATGGATCTCTCTGGAAGATATGGGCACTCTCCCTTTGTATCCCATGATTTCCTGTTGCCCTTGCCAGACAGTGGAACCAGGAGTTTCCTCTGAAAGTGGTCTCTGGAATTCTGGGTCTCCTATGGGACCGGGGTGGCAGGAATGAGGGCCCCTGGTTTCAGACAAAGAAGTCAGCACTATCCCTCCCTATGGCTCTGGGGACATCTTGTGTGTAGGAAGGGGTTAACTGGCCAAGTTCCCTCTTCTAGCCCTGGAGGCTCAGGAAGTGGGAAGTAAAAGGAGTGGAGAAGCAATGGCCACATTTGGATGCCAACACCCCAGGTTCTGAGCTTCTGCCAACTCCGTCCTTGCTGGGGATGAGGGCAGGCACCAAGGGCACAGTCCAGAGTAGAACTAGCAGACCTGGAGCAAGGACAAAAGCAGCTCTAACACCTGGGGGGGCCCAGGGATTTCCCAGTTCCTCTTGTCCACTCCAGGGCCTGGACAGCCACACCTCCCTGGGAGTAGCTGAGGGAGAGGCTCACGTCTTAGAGGTTTCCAGGATTTTGATGGTCAGTACTGAGCTGGGAAAGGGGCCCTCAGACTCCATGGGCTTTTGGTTCCTTCCCTGCATGACCCATGCAGACAAGGCCCCATCGCTTGGACTTCAGGGATCTGAACTAGAGTTAGGGGACCCATTCTAAGACTGCTGGGATCCTGACAAGCCACGCCACTGAAGGTCGGCTCTAGAATTCTGCTCTGCCTCAAAATCCCCCATATACTTCCACAGCCCTCACCCAATTCTCCATCCTGCAAGGTCCAGCCTCTGAAAATGATCTTGATGCCACTCGCTGGACTTGTTCCTATCTGCTCTATCAAAGTAGCCCTCAGCTTGACTCTCAGTCCTCCCAGCCCAGCCTTCTCCTGACACCAGCACACAGCAGCTCCTCCAAAGTGGGTTCCTTAGTTACCTCCAGAGCCTGCTTGCCCCTCGCAAACAGGCTACTTCCCTGCCAGCACGCCCCTCCCGTCCTCCAGGGAGCCTTCCCGACTGCCTCAGCCCTGTCGATGGCAGTCACCATTTAGTTGTTCTTAATGAGTCTTCGTCACTTCTGTTCATGTCCTCAGATAGCCTGTCCTAGGGCAGGGCCCAAAGATGCTGATGGGGAGACAGGCACTTCTAAATGCCTGACTCCATGAATTCTCCCTTTTAAAGTCCACCAGTGCCCTTCTGAGTTCAGGAGCTGACTCAGGCCTAGTCTACTTGGAGAGCAATTTACTGGCCTTTCTGGGCTCCCATTTAGCTCCCACCTCCACCCCGCCCAGGTGGAAGACAGGCAGGGGTTCATGGACACCAGGCAGGTTGAATGTCAAATGCACTTTACTGGGCCCCTGGGCCTTCCAATGCTGTCCTCGTGGAGCCTGGGGCACCCTCTCCCAACACCTCCAGCTGCACAGGAAGCGGGTGGGTGGAGGGCGTACATGGAGTGGCTCCTTCTCCTGCTCCACAGGATCTTGGGTAATGCTAGGCCATAGCTGCGGGCCTCTGCCCCTGCAGCCCCCACTCCACCCCCCGCAGCTAGACCCTCCTCAGGGTAGAGAAGGGGGATGCCTGGGCCTTCAGTACAGGAAGCCGGTTTCAAACCAGCCACCTGTCCCTGCTTCAAGTGAGGCAAGGGGCCGTGTGCCGAACTCTACCGGGAGCAGTTATGTAGAAGGAAAAGCAGCCTGCTCGTGTCAGAGGCTGGCCAGGCAGACCCAGGAGCCAGGCTGGCCCTTTTCCTCAGGCTCAGGGAGCTGCTGGTTGAAGTGGTGAGGTTTAGTCAGCTGAGGCTAGAGGGGCGGCCAGGTGGGGCAGCGGGTCCAGCTGGGTACCCCCTCCAACCCAACCATGGGTCACCAGTCCCGCTCAGCTGGTTCTCGGTAGGGGAGGCCCAGGAGCCTGAAGACATCTTTCTCAGTGGGAGTGGGAAGCACTCGGCCAGGCCCCACCTTGAGACCTCGGGTGTCCCGAACCACAGCTGTGCTGAGGGCATGCTCCGACAAGCTCATGCCCTTGGTCTTGGCCAGGGCCCGCATGGAGCGGTTGAAGTGGGCAGAGCCGGTGAAGTAGAGCAGGGCGCATGCAAACTCGCTGTAGGGCACAATGATGATGTCCAGTCGTCGGTGCCGCTGCCCTGGTCCTGGGAGCTGGCATACACCCAGGTACTTCTGCTGCTGACCATTCTCCTCCTGGCTCACCAGGTCATCAGTCAGGAACCCTGGCCCAACACAGGACAGCTGCTGAGAGGTCTAGGAGCCAGGCCTCGGGCCATCCCATCCTCCCAGCTCTCTTGATTGTCCTGGGTCATCTAGTCCCAGGTCACTCATTTACTTGCTGGGTGACCTTGCCCTCTCTGCACCTGTCTCCTTACCTATAAAATGTGTATAGACACTCCTCCCATCCCCACAGTGTCGCAGAAAGGTAAGATGAGACACTCAACATGCAGGTGGTACTGTGTGGTATGGGGCTGTCTCATCTCTTCCCTGAAATGTCTCTAATCACAAGGTGCGAGTCACGTGAAGCAAACTTCCCCTGCTTCCTGTCTAGAGATTTCAACTTTGAGGCTCTCCCTCTTGGGGGCCACCCAGATCTGCCCTGCCCCCTGCCAACCTGCTCACCCAGAGATGGAGCTTATACCTCTCTGCCGAAGGCTGTCAAGGAGGCGACTGAAGATGCCCTGGTGCGATCGGCCATCCGGGTGAGTGAGCAGCACATCCACATCACCACAGGTTGCCTTCCCCCGTCGGTAGGAGCCACATGCCACACACAGCAGCCCAGGGTTGATGGCCTGAGCTGATTCCCGGACCTGGGAGAGAGCAGTGAGGGCTGAGGGGCTGTGGACCTTAAGCCCCCAAGGAGTTCCTCTCCTGTATTAGCACAAGGGCCTTCCCTGGCCCAGGAACCCACCTCCCAGCTTATGCCCTAGACGTTCCCTGGAGTGTGATGAAGGCCTGAGGGCATGGGCCCCGGGAGCAGAGGCCGATCTCCCGGGAGCAGCAGTTCTCTAGCCTCACAGGGCAGAGGAGAAGAAAATGTGCTCGCACTGCGGAGGCCGCCTGAGAAGAGATGTAAGGAGTCTACTCTGATTCTGAGGGGAGGCGCTGATCTCCCCTCTAGGGCTCCTTCAAAGCAGAGACACACCTTCTCCTGGCCCTGCTCCAACCCTTGTGCCACGTCTGTCAAATTCCACCTAGGACAAAGGGCTGGATGCCTGAAAGTCCTCAGCCAGGCCTCAGCCCCAGGATTTGGTACTACAGGCAGAGTGTGTGAGTTGGGGTTTGAGGCCTGGTGGCTGGCAGGGTGCCCCAGGCCCAAGCCTGGGGGAAATGGAGCCCAGAAATATAACTACACCTGTGATGGTGAGAGGGGAGACGAGGGGAGAAGAGGGAAGGGGACAGGAGAGGAGGCGAGGGGAGGGGAGAGAGGAAGGCAAATCTAGCCAATGTCCAAATCCTTACTTGGAGGAATGGGGCTGCATGAGAAGCGAGCTGTGACAGAAACTGTCCGCTGAAGGGTCATCCCTCATTGAGAGGGATAAGCCCATTAGCCCCTATCCCAGAGACATTAGGCCTTTCATATGCAGATAGACTCCCGCCTCCACCCCAGGACACTGAGATTTCTGGGTCTCTGGATACCTTCAACCATGACACCTCAATTTTCCTGACAGGAGGCTCTGCTAATCCCCACACTCCTTTCTTGAGCCTCCCAAGAAGATGGGAGGAGGCCTAGGGTGAATAATCCCATCAAAAACCCCTAACACTGACACCCTTCAATGGGGGGAGCAGGCAAGGTGGGCAGGGGTCCTGGAGGCTCACTGGGGCATTATCCTTGCATGGACACCTTGGCTGAGTGATGGTGCCGTCACTAACAACACAGCCTGGTGACGGGTGAACAAAGGGGCCTGTTCATCCATCCTGCGCCAGCCTCAGATTCCTGTGGCTTGAAGAGCTGGAGGCTAATTTCAACTACGCTATCCATAGTTTCCGTGGAGTCCTACCCTATCCGAAACCTAGACCAAAGTGAGCAAACCTTGTCCATAGCAACCAGTCCCTAATCCTAACACCAATTATATGAACTTGATCCGTAACCCAACTCTAAACCAAACCCTAATCTTGGCCAAACCTATTTCTAGGACAACCGTGAATCTTAACTAAAAGCATCCAACACTAAGAGAACCCTACTCCTAATTCAGGCTTAACCTTAACTCACCTCTTGATCTATCCTTCCTCTAACCCCAAACTTAATCCTACCGGCACTGGGCTTCTTCGCCATCTCTCCAAACAGGTGGGCTTCAGAAAGCCCACGTGTCTGGAAAGAGATATAAAACTTTGTACATTTGTACAACTTCGGGAGAGAAAGAGTCCATAGTTTTCACCAGGTTCTCAAAGAAGTTTGTGAATCAAAAACTGTTAAGAATCTCTACCCTAACCCACCCAAACCTAGCCCAGTTCAAACTCCAATAGCCTTAAGTAGTACCCTACCAAAGCCACCTACCCCTCCTCTGGGCCCATAGCTTTAGTCTCGACTTGCTCTTTCCTCCCTGGTCCTAACCTCTGGTGGCCCATAGCTTCCTCTGCCTGCTAGGCTCCCCAGCTGAAGGATCAGGAGTTCTTGGCTCCTCACTGCTCTGAGACACCTGCTTACTGTCTGCTCGATCTTTGTAGCTTCCTCCCTGGGCATGCGTTCCAGAAAGTCATCATAGTGCTTTAGGCCGATGGCCTGCTGGGTAGTCAGGGAGGCCTGGTTGCGGATATCTTCTAGGCTCCGGAAACCCTGGAGAAAAGAGGCCAGTGGGGACACTATGAGGATCCAGGACCAATGAAGAGGCAGTGATGAGCATACACACAAGGCTTCCATCACCCCCAGCCTTCAAGGAAGGCCTGAGGCAGGACCTACCCCAGGAGCAGTTGGGTCTGTAATCAGTGGAACTCTGGAAAGGCAAGCGGCATGGAAGACAAGCCCCAATCCAGCCCTGCCACAATCCCAAAATACTGGTTCATGATTCCATCGGTCCAGGGGTGAATCTGGGCAAGCCAGATTTGGGAATCACTGCTCTGCGTACTCAGCCCTGAGGCCTGGTCTCTTCAGAAAGGCCCTTGCTGGTCTGGGAGACAGAGAAACATACTTCTCATCTCTGCCAGATTAGTGCCTCCACCATACCAAACAACAGGGCAGTTCTGGGAGCTAGGAGAGGGGTTTACATGAGCCCTGGGCCCTTTAAAAAATGGTCTCCCTATAGTCTGGGTTCATTCCTATGAGAGTGCAAGGTAAGAAAGTTGTAGGTCAGGAGTTCTGAGACACAGCAAAACGGAGAGGGGGATGGGCCAAGGTATGACCTGATGGTACCACATCTGGGCAGTCTTGGTTCCAGCTCCCCAAATATTAGAGAAGAGTTCCAAGACAGGCACACTATCGCTGATGTGGTCCAGCTTGCGCAGATGTCCACTCTCTAGGATCTCTACAATCTTCTCAGCCATCCGTTTCCCAATCCCAGGGATATTGCAGGCCTCCTAGAGGAAGGGGTTGGCAGAGGCATGAAAAAAGAGTGAGAAGATGGGAGAGGTAGGGCCAGAGTGTGGGGAAGCTGACTCTTTTAGCAGATGTCTGAGTAAAAACCAGCCTGGTCAGTTGGCAACTAATGGCTGTGTAATGGCCAGTTGGGCACAACTGAAGATGAGAAATTTGGATGGAATGGGCTGTTTAATTTGTCTTTTGCTTTCCAGAGGGATGGAGATCAGCACAGGAAGTAGAGAAAAGGCAGTAATGGTGATACTAGTGACCATCATCATCACAACAGCGAGAGCTAACATTTACTGAGGCCTTACTGTGTAGCAGGTCATACACTACAGAGATCATCTCATTTAGTCCTCATAAAACACTGAATTGTTACTATTCTTAGTCCCTTTTTACTGGTGAGGAAAACTGACGCTCAACGGTTTACGTACTTGCCTAAAGTCACACAATTAGTGAATAATGGAAACCAGAATTCAAACCTTGGTCTGTTGGCTTCCAGGGTCTGAATGTTTTAAAAACTTTATTATGGAAAAAAATTCCAAAGTAGAGAGAACAGTGTAACAAACTCCCAAGTATCTGTTACCCAGCTTCTATAATTATCAAAATTTTGCCAATCTGCTTTCATCAATCTCCCTATTTTTTTTTCTTTTGTGCAAGGATCAGACATCATAAAATCTTAACCATTCCACCTGAACCTCACTTGTGAATGGTGCCTCCACCAACCTCTAGCCAGTAAAGGGAAGACCACATCCCACCCCTCTGCATACCCTGTCCTGGCCCCCAGGTACCTGGTAGGAAGTGACAGGCTTGTGAAAGCTCTTGAGGGCATTGATGGCCTTGGCATAGCCCAGGGCCCTCCACTTGTCTCCCTGAACACTGTAGGCTTTGGCCAGCACTTCCAGCTTTTCTGTGATGTGGACATTGTGGTTGGTCACCTTCTGACTCGAAGGCTGTGCACAGACCCACTTATCCAGACCCTCAGGGGCTGGGCTAGGTTCACCATCTCCCTCAGGGGTGATGGGGTAGCGGCCACTGATCAGGGCTTCCAAATCAGCTGCGCTGATCTGGGTCTCTTCCCCATCACTGGTTTCATCATCGGAGCTGGACTTGAGGTAAGGAAGAAGAAGAGACAATAAATGCATGCCCCCCCGCCCCCAATGGATGCTCCTCGAAAGTAGGGGTTGAGTCTCCTAGTTAGACCCAAGAATTAGGCTTGGTCTTCTGCATCAGACTTGGGTTTCCTTAAGTGTGGGGCTTTGTTCCATTTGACTTCCTCAGTCCCAGCCCTAGGATGCCCAGTGACATTGGTAGATATGATCTGGGCAAAAATAGGAGTGATTAAGTATTGGGAAAAGCTAAATGGCTTCACAATAAAGAGAGCCCTCCTCTCTTCAGGGGCCTTGGACTTCCTGAATGACCACGAGGCCCTCCCTGTTTCTGTGATCTAGTTCCCAGGGAAAGGGAACTGTAGGGGCTGAAGGACTCCTCACCTGGGCTTGGGTGCTTGGAGCTTCTTCTGTCCTGTGAGGAGGAGACACAGGTCTAATGGGAGTAGGAAGAGGAGAGAGAGCTGTCCTGAGCTGAGCCTCACAGGATCCAGGAGTAGAAGAGTCTTGGTCTGCTTTACTGAGCTGTTGTTGGTCCAGGTACCTGGAGGGATGATGATGGGAAGTTAAGACTCCAAAGGTCTAACCCTATCTGTTCTCAATCCTTCTCTACTCAGACACCTTGGTTCTCTAACATATTCATTTAAGACAATGAGAGTTCTTTTTAATAACCCAAGGAAAGAGCTGAAGATGCTGCTGGAAAGCATTTGAGGAAAGACTGGGACCAGCCCACCTGTTGGGGATGAAGATCTTGAATCCTGCCGTGTCCACCAGCCTTCTTTCCTGCAGGCACAAACTCAGCCAAGATGACTTTACCAGCTGAGCACCTGGGGGCAGCTGGGGCAGTCTAAGGAGGTGGAGGGCTCGCTCACAGTCCATGCCATCATCCACCACAATGTGGGTGACCCCTGGGGCTTGGGCAGGGTATATCTGGCCGCCATGTTGGACAATCTGCTTCTCAAAGAGTTCTGCTCGGGCTCGCCCAATGCCAGTGGGCACAACATGGGCCCGCAGGGAGCTCAGCCACTCTGTGGAGGAGATACCACATGCCTATTGTTATAACTTTCAGACATGATTGGAATGATACTGTTATAGTCTCCTTCCCCCAAAACAATCCTTTTCCTTCTATTCAGACTACCTGCCTTCTGGGGGTTCCACCAGAAGCACACAGTTCATTTCCTCATGGGCCATCACTTGATGTAAGGAGCAAGGATTTTGATAAGTCCTGTTCCCTCATGTAAACTACAACAGTGTCTGGCACATTGTAGACATCCTACAAATCACTTTGTTTATTTACTCTTTCAATAAGTATTAATAGATACCTACAGTAGACCAGGCACAAGGCATACATGTCTTGGCATTATAGGCTGCACAGCCTAATAGATACTCCCTTCCCAACCGATGTAAACTTTTGTCATCTATTTGTTAATTTGGCTGCAAAATATCTTATAACTCTGGGGGCCTGAGATGGATTTCTGGACCCCAACCCCACTCCCCACTGCAGGTAACCTCCTGGAGAGCAAAGGATTCTGCTGGTCATTTCCTTAGGGATCAGGAAGTGTTTTCTGATTAATGGAGTCCCAGGGTAGGGTAGAAGATAACAGCAAGTGGTCTGTCAAAGACCTGGAACCAAGCCTAGTACAAGGCAGGCATAAACCAACCTGCAGGCCCTGAGTGGACAGAGTCAGCTCTAAGATCTGATTTTGGCCATGAACAACGTAGAAAGTCTAGAGGTTCGAGCACAAGAGGTTTCTGAGATTGCATCCACTCACCTCTCGCTCTTTTTCCATCTTCCCTCTTGGGAATCTTTGCAAGTGCTTTTGATGATGGATTGGTGTGAATTTTCTTCCGCTTGGGAAATGCCTTCAAGATGCCCCTGGGGTCCATTGATGTATGGCTGGATCCTGGCCTTTCTGAGGATTGATCAGGGCAGCTGTCATGTTGAAACCCAGAAATGAGGTTCCCCAACCCCTTTGCCTATGGAAGTGAGATCTCTACTGACCAGGCCTTGGGAGCAGTAGTTCAGTTCCCCAGGGTCTCTCAAAACTCATTTGAACTTCAGTGGTTTAGTCTAGCTCTACACTTACCAGCCTTTCAAAGTCAGAGTACTGGGGGAAAAAGGAGTGAAAATGGAACTACTGGGGGCACTTTTGACGGGTGAGACACGGTATCATTCCTCAGAGGGGTTGCTCTAAAGATTCAGTGTAGTATCTGCCCTGCTATATCCCAAAGGGGTTTACCAAAAGGGGATGCCAAGTTAGGAAATGGAGCTACATCTTTAGGAAGGGCTTGGGCTCCCAAGAGGAGTGGAGATTGGGTGGATCTGCACAAACTCCACCTAACCTTTTTGTATCCCCGTCACTGACCCACAGAGAAAAATCTGAGGGTGTGGGTTGGGAAGTGAGGGAGGCAGGGGGAACACCCTGCACCTGCCGTCCTTGAAGGCCTCGCGGCATGGGGGTGCTCAGGCCCGCAGCTGCGGGAAGATGGGGCAAGGCCACAGCAGGTGTCTGGCGCCTTCCGGTGCTGGGGGAGTCTCGGCCTCACAGCTGGGGGTGGAGAAGACTCCGGCAGGTGAGGGGCACCCACCGCGATCGCAGCTGGAGCGTGCTCGCGACTCCCAGCTGGAGGCCAAAGGAGGGGTGACGCGTCTGGACCCTGTCCTGTGGTCCCCCTCCCCCCTCCCCGCATTCCGTTCAGGGTAGGGTCAACTTCAGGCCCAGAAAGCCAACCGGGGCGTGAGCAAGAAAAACTGCTACTTACTTGGCGGAGCAGTCAATGAGTGCAGATGAAAGGGGGGATGGGGAAGGAAAATGACCGGAACAATTTCCGGGTCAGCCGGAAGTGACCCTAGGCAGGACGGTCGCCATGGTAGCGGTCGGGCGCGCGGCTGGGCGGAGGGAAGATGGTGGTGACAGGCTGGCTGGAGAGTCTGCGGGCGGCCGAGAAGACAGCACTGCTGCAGGACGGTAACTCGAGGCCCCGCGCGAGTTCCCTCCTTCCCCAGGGTACGCCCTGCGCGCCGGCGCCTCCGGGAAGGGCCTCAGAGCCTGGACCGCAGAGTGGAAGGGTCGCGGCCGCCGCCCAAGCCGGGTCCTGGTTTGCAGATGAGGAAACTGAGACCCAGAGAGATGACGTAACTGGAACACGCATCTCTGGACACCCCCTAGTTTCCTGTAGGCCACCTCGCTCCTCTTGGAGTTCTGCTACGTAATTCCTTTCACATTCATCATGTCATTTGCTCCTCATCAGAGTCCCGAAAGGCTGTTAATTTTCCACCCCGTTTTACAGAAGAGGAAACTGATCCAAGAAGGTTTTAGACCAGCTCCAGATCCCCCAACCAGACAGTGGTACAACTGCATCTTGACCTGGGATCTCACGAACCTCAGTTTTGGGGTTCTGTTGCTCAAGACAGCCTGGTGTCTTGGAAGGGAGGGAGATCTGGGTTCTAGTTAGGACTCTGCCATTAAATCACCAGGCTCTCCAGTCATTCTCTGTACTTGTTTGGACCTCACTTTTCTCACCTGTAAAATGAGCTGGATGGGCTCCCTGCTATCTCTGAGGTCCTTTCAAGCTGTGATATTGTTTGTAAGCGAACCTCTAAATGTTTCCTGGGTTTTCAGTGGAGACAGAGCAAGGGCCTGGGGCTGTGCCTGGAAAAGATGGGCACAGGGCTATGGAACCCTAACGTTCACTCTAGGATCGGCCAGTGTAGGCCCCTCCCTGTACTTCAAGGTCCCTTTGTGGACCCACTTGGCAGCCAGAATGAATTAGGTCTGAATTCCTGTAGCTTTTAGGATACCAATTAGGGACTCACATCTGCAGTCAGAGGCCAATCAGGGAAGCATGGAAATTAAAATCAGCTGCTCACTTGCTCATTCTTAAACACAGCATTTAGGAAGGCCTTACTATGTGCCAAGCTGTGTACTAGAGCAGAAAGAAAAAGACAACAACAACAACAAACAAACCAATATTAAATATATGGCTATGCTTTGGCAAACCTCCCCTGTAGATTTACCCACTTGGTGTATGTGTGGGTGCATTGGGGATGTCACCTCCTTCCCACCAAGAATTACTGCTGTTGGTAATGAAAACCCAATACACTTTATATTTTTCATACTGGAAATATGAAAAATAAATAAGTCACCTATATTCTTACCATCCAGAGATAGTCATAATTTATATTTTATACATAAACTTCTATATTTTTTCTTTAAATTTTTTTCTATGCATATACACTCATTTATTTTTTAACAAGTAGTCATACTAGTATACTTTAAAAGTTTTATATCTATGTACATACCTATATAACAAATACATTTTAAAATAAAGTATACACAGCCCTGGCCGGTTTCCCTCAGTGGTAAGAGCGTTGGCCTGCAGACCAAAGAGTCACAGGTTCAATTCCAGTCAAGGGCACATACCTCAGTTGCAGTTAGATCCCTGGCCCTGGTTGGGGTCGTGTGGGAGGCAACCAGTTGATGTGTCTCTCAGATCGATGTTTCTCTCTCTTCCTCCCTCCTTGCTTCCCTCGCCCTCTATCTGAAAAAAAAAAAAAAGGGGGGGGGGGATATATCCTCCGGTGAGGATTGAAATAAATAAATAAATAAAGTATAAGTAACTATTATATAATCTTTGGGTAAGGGAGGGTATTCTAAGTACAACTTCTGGGTAATAACCACAAAGAAAAAAAAAAAAACAGTTGACTATATAAAAAGTAAACACTTATTTGGGAAAACTCACTTTGCTTATTTATTTTTTTTATCCTCACCCAAGGACATCTTTTGATATTTTGTTCAGATAGAGTGAGAGGGAGAGAGAGAGAGAAACATCGACGTGAAAGGGACACATGGAGTGGTTGCCACCTGCATGACCCAACCAGGGGACAAACTGTAACCAAGGTACGTGCTCTTAGTGGGAACCGAACCCGGGTCTCTCTGGACCGCAGGCCAATGCTCTAACCGCTGAGCCAAACCAGCCAGGGTGGGAAAACTCACTTTAAACAAAATTAAAAGGCAATTGAAACAGGATATTTGTAGCGTATATGACACATGGTTAATATATACAAAGCTCAGTTAGATTAGTAAGAAAAAGATGAATACCCAAGTAAAATAGGCTAAGGCCTAAACAGATAATTCACTAGAAACAACCAGTAAACCCATGAAACAGTGTCAACCTTAGAAATATTTAAAGCCATACAAATTATCCTAGTATGGTTATTAGAGCATGAACGTAGGTATCAAGTGAATTTAAGCCTGGGCTCATCGTGTCCTAGGCTTTATGACCTTGAACAAGTTGTATGACCTTTAAGTCTCAGTTTTCCTTATTTGCGAAATACAGGTAATGGGAACACTTAGGATTATTGTGAAAATTAAATGCAATAAAACATGTAAAGTACCTGGCCAGTAGTAAGCACTGCATCCTGCCTGGACTCAAGACTGGACTCCAGGGGGAGAAAAGGGTCAGGCCAGACACCCTCAGCTACTCACAGGTGACACCTTGTACCCCATTCCTGACAGGAAAACCCCTTCCAGCTCTTTGAGCCATCCAGATGATTAAGGGTGGTGTGACTTAGGGGCCTGCTGAAAGACACACAAATTTGGCGGGTGAGTTTCCCCAGAATATATTATATTAGGAACAACTGTAGAGATCAATGTCCCAGAGGAGTGAATTGGACAGGGGGAAGGCCTAATAGATCGGATACAATTGCAAGTTTTGGCTAGTGGCACCATTAACCCTTTGGTTAAGGGCCTTGGAGGTTTTATTCATCAAATGTATGGTGGACTGACCTACTGGGCATTAGTCCTCTGTTATTAGTCTCACTGAGGAGCCTACCTGTATCCACTTACCTATCTGTAAAAATAGGGGAAATGGCATAGCCACTTTTTTTTTTATTCTCACCTGAGGACATTTTTGCATTTATCTTCAGATAAAGCGGGAAGGAGAGAGGGAGGAAGAGAGAGAGAGAAACATTGATGTGAGAGAGAGACATCGATTGGTTGCCACCCACACAACCCCAGCCAGGGCTGGAGACAAACTGCAACTGAGGTACATGCCCTTAGCGGCAATCGAACTCGGGACTCTCTGGTCCACGGGCTGAGGCTTTAACTGCTGAGCCAAACTGGCCAGGATGGCATAGCTACTTTTATGAAAATGCTTATGATTGTACTACATTGATGGAAGAGATGGGCTAGGATAGTCCCTTGTGTTCTTCCATTCTTTCAATGAAAGGTGAATCAATGTTCATCCATTCTTTCAATGAAAGGTGAATCAATGTTCATCCATTCTTTCTATCAGTACAGTCAGCCCTCGTTTATCATGGTTAATCAGTTCTAGACCCTACTGCGATAAATGAATTTCTGCAAAGTAGGATTTTTTATTTACACAGTCATCCCTCGCCATTTCGCGCTTCAACTTTCGGGGCTTCGCTCTATCGTGGTTTTTTCAAATACTACTGTTTAGCTGAGCTCCTAATATATGCCAGGTACTATGTTTGGTATTAGGGAAACCATAGGCAGGGAGATAAAACCCCTCTTAACTAGTAGAAGATTCAGGCAGTAATTAGTCACACAGATGCAAAATCATAACCAAAATAAATGCTATGAAGAAAACACATGGGGACTAACATCATGTGACTTTGTGATAGGAATGGCCTAAAGATGTGCAGAAGGCAGAATGATAACATGGCTAGAGGGAGTACTTAGTTGGGAAACCCAGTTTAATATCCTGAGAATATAAACTTGGTTTTAGGAACTTGGGAGAGAAAGATAACTGCTTTTATAAGGATCATACTCTGTGGTAAATGCTTCACTATGGATATGAATAAAGCATTAGAGAGGCACAGACAAGGAAGCAAATTTTGCTAAGGTGGCCTGTGGTAGTAGTTTGGGAATACTTCCCAGTGGAAGTGATATTTGAGCTGGTTTTTTTGTTGTTATTGCTAATCCTCACCTGAGGATATTTTTCCTTTAATTTTTAGACAGAGTGGAAGAGAGGGAGGGAAGGAGGGAGAGAGAGAAACATCGATGTGAGGGAGACACATCAACTGGTTCCTGCAGAACCTGACGGGCTGGGGATTGAACCTGCAACTCAGGTATGTGCCCTTGACCAAGAATAGAACCCAAGAACCTTTGGTACAAAGGCCGACACTTTAACCATTGAACCAAACTGGCCAGGGCTTGAGCTAGGGTTTTTTTTGTTTGTTTGTTTGTTTTTTCCTTTATTGATTTTAGAGAGAGAGGAAGGGAGAGGGAGGAGAGATGGAAACATCCATGAGAGAGAATATCGATTGGCCGCCTCCTGCATGCCCCCCTCTGGAGATCTGGCCCACAACCTGGGCATGTGCCCTGACCGGGAATCGAACCGGCGAAGAGGTGCGTGGATCGATGTTCAACCACTGAGCCACACTGGCCGGGCTTGAGCTAGGTTTTGAAGGGCGTGAAGGAGTTCAACAGATGGAAAGAAGTATGGAGTTATTGCTGGTAGAGGAAATAGCAGAGCAAAGAAAGATAATGTTGAAAGTTTTAGAAAGGAAGAGAGTCCGAGGGCATATCTTAAAGCAATGGTGGGCCATGGTTGGCAAGGAGTGGAGGCTCGGGAGTGTTTCTCAATACACCCAAGGCTGTTGGTGTTTCCCAGGTAAACCCCTTTATCTGCAAGGTACAGGCAAAAGGAGGTTTGGGGGTAAGGCACTCTCTGCTTTGTGCGTAGGGAGAAGAAAGGTGCACTATTTGTTCCCAGACGGGAAGGAAATGGCTGAAGAATATGATGAGAAGACAAGTGAACTACTTGGTAAGTGACTGAAGCTCCCAGTGGGCCCTTAGGAACACTTGGGATGACCTGAGCACACTCCTAGCCCAAGGCTTGAGGGAGGAACCCTGTACTAAATGTGGAAGCTAGGGCAGACTAAGGCCCTTGAAGCAAGATTGTTCCAGAGAATAATCAGAGGTCCAGTGCTGGACACCAGAGGTAGAGTGGGATTTGACCAGTAAATCCCATTGAACTCCCAAACAAATGAGAGTGAGTAGATTTTCTATGGTGGGAATAGGGATGTAGATAATCCACTGGGAAAAAATTTACAGAGAAGGTGGAATTGGAAGTGAGCCTTGTAGGCTGAATAGTGGTAAGGGCTGGCTTCCACTGCAGTTTTTTTTGAAGCCACACTAAAAACAAGCAAGTATCAGAGGCAGCACAATTTTTTTTTTTCAATCCTCACCTGAGGACATACTTAGAGAGAGAGAAAAACATTGATATGAGAAACATTGATCAGTTGCTCTCTATATGCTCTCCAACTGGGGATCAAACCCACAACCCAGGCATGTGCCCTGATCGAGAATTGAATCGGTAACCCGGTTGTGCACGGGACAACTCCCAACCTACTGGGCCACTCAGGCCAAGGAGAGGCAGCACTATTAAATATGACCTTTATCTTGGAGAATGTCTGAATCAAAGGCAGTAGGGGTAGAAATGGTAATTTTGTAGCATTGTCATTTGTGTTCCTGGCAGCTCTTTTCCTCTAAGAATAGGCTCATGAATAGGGGCTCCAGCTCATATTTCTGGGAATTATTTGATTTGTCCATTCTATGTTCCCAGGTCCACACATCAGCATTAACCGACTTCCCAGGGCTAGGTGGCTGGTTCTTTGACCCAGGGCCTGAGGCTGTCATCAATGGGAGTTAGTCTCTTTATTAAGTTCTACCTGAAATGCTAAGACCAATGATGGAATCATGGACTGGGTTATTTTCTTGTCATTATTCTTGACTTTAATTTCTTCCTGGGTCTGATCGGCAGGTAGTATTGGTGAGGGAATTTCTTTTCCCTTTTTCTGACAGCTCATAAATGTCCAGAACCGACAACACAGATTACACTGGTTTGCATTCTCTTAGTCTCCAGTCTTAAAATGTGTGTCTTGCGCATGTTCAGTCGCAGAGTGAAGTGTTGATCCCTCCTTATTATGAGCTGCTTGGGCTCTAGTCCCAATTGGTTTAGTCTGGTGCTATTAAAAATCTTGATGTGTTTAGCATATGACACTGATTTGGTGGAAACCAATACAGTAGTAATATCCTCACAATGCATTGTAATTTATAGCGTTCCCAGGGGGTGACAGCCTTGGAATGCCTAACAGGGGCAAGCTTATGAAAGCAGAGGTCACGTGGGCTAACCACCACCATCACCAGACCAGAGACTAGTTGCAGCTCCTCTCCCCCAGCCGCCAGTGTCACCTCTCTTCTCCACACAGAGCAAATCAAACAGCTGTAGCTGCCGTGCTATAAAATAAAACAAACAAACAAAACCTAGGCCTGTTAGTTGTGCTTGGACATGAAATTAAAATGAAAAAAGTCCCGGTTCCTTTATCTGTAGCATCCCATATTAACCTGTCACTTCTCTTGGCAGGTAGGGAACAGGCAGTGGCCTCCAAACTCCTGTTTATTTTTATATATTTTTTATTTTTCTTTTATTTTTTCTATCACTATTTATCTCCTCTTTCACCTCCATGCCCCCACCCTGCTAAACTCCTTTTTCTTAAAAGCACAAATGGAGGTTATTAGGAGAATATTGTTTGGCTAAAGTTTACCTAATAATGATATTAATACCATAACTTTTATTGGGCACCATGCTAAATGCTTTGTGCGAATTATCTCATGTAATCATCCTCACTACAACCTGATGAAGGAGGTACTATTGTCGCCATTTTACAGCTAAAAAGGGGGAGGGGCTCCAAGAGGTTAAGCACCTTCTTGAGAATCGCATAGCTGGTTAGTTTCTGAGCTAGGATTTAAATTAGGTCTGTCTGATTAAGAGCCCATGCTTTAGTCCACAACAACATACTGTTGGGAGTTGAGAATAGTTAATTCTGCTTTCTTTTCTTCATACTAAATTTTGTGCTCTTCAGAAGGACCTGTGTTGGGGCTGGTAGGAGCAGGACAGAGATGGCCAGACAGGACCGCCAGGCCCTTTGAGAAGCTGATCCTTTTCTTACCCATCTCTAGCCAGCCCCACTCCCGGCAGCTGCCCTTGCAAAATACTTTCATTATTAACTTTTAAATATAAATATTCCTAGGGCTTGAGCTGACTTTTACTTGTGCTTTCTGTGAAGTAAAATATGAACAGAGTTTTTGTAGCCATAAATGGGAATAGTTTCTGTTTTTTCAAGCTAATTACATAAATTTGATAATTGGCTAAACTGGTTTTCTGTTAGAAAAACCCAGAAAGTAATTTTCTGAGGAAGAGTTGCCAATAGTGCATCTGTCTAGGACGGAGTTCTTCCAGTTGGTGTTAATAAACATATTAGAGTCATATTTTTTTCTACCCTGTTTGTGTTATTCATTCCTACCCCCCACAATGAATGCTGTATGTATTCATAGAGGAAAAAACTGAAGGGCCCTATAACAATGATCGGAACATCAAACCAGCCCCAGAAGAACACAGCATGTCCAGGGGGGCAGAGGCTGAAGGGCAGGCCATCCCCCAGCGATTACATTGGGATTACCGGCCTAATCTGCTTTGGTATTTGACCGCCAGCCTAACCACCCCAGGCTGCATTTCGAGGATATTGAGCACTTTCATCCCCAAGCACTTCACCAGCTTTATAAATGACCCACTCGATTCCCTTCAGCCTCCTCAGGGATGGGACATGGCAGCTGTTTAATAGCCACATAGCAATGTTGCAGTGTTTTAGGGCAGAAAAGAAGAATCCTGCATCCAGTTTAAGCTGCAGGGAGTATTTAGGAAGGGGGAATGTAATTATCCACGTTGGAAATGGGCCAGGGCTTGGAGCTTCGGGGAAAGAGGCCTTTAGGACCTCCACTTTCCAGCCCACCTGAAAGATGGGGCCTCCTTTCAGCAAACAGTCTTGGACATCAGCCTGCTTCGTGCTGACTTAGGAAAAAGCCCCCAAGCACTGCTTTCGTCATGTATTCCCCATCAGACCCTCTACAGGGTCATTGAAAGTCTTTCCAAGGACTGGCCCTGGCTCAGCTGGGAAGATATGACAGCATCCCAGGGAGCTGCCTCGCACACACCAGTTTGGGTTTAACATATAATCAAATCAGAGTGACAGCAGGTGGAAACAGTCTTCTGTTGCCACAGGAGCTGTCCTTGAGTTCAGGAACAAAGACAGGACAAGAAAGACAAAGTGTGGATCTGCACATGTGCGTTCATGCCCACGTCCATGGGGAAAAAAATAACAAGGACTTCATCAAAATCATTTATTGAATCTTACAAGGGAATGAGTAGAGAGACTTTCTTCTGCATTCTATCAAAGAATTTAATCCCCAAATTGTTTATTTTTTAAAGAGGTGAAACAGCTAAGGATTCTAAGTTCCTGTGACCTGGGTGGCTTTTAAGGTTGGTGGTAATGAAAGGAGTAGCTGATTTTTCTTCTCCTTAGTGTGCTTCTTGGGAAGGCTTCTCTGCAAAACCCAAAAGTCCTTGGAGTAAAAGAATAGACAGAAAACCCTGGGGTTGGAATTGCCTCTCCTGACCACACTGGTATCAAGCTTTAGGACATGATTTAACAAGGCCCATGATTAGAGGAGCCCCAGATAGTTAGGTACTCCTCATACATTATATTTTCAAGTAACCAAAGCTTTTCTTTTAAAGGCTAAAATATAAAAAGAGAAGTAGAGCTACTTAAAAAAATAGAAATCTTTTACAGTATCATACATGCTTATTGAACATTTATAGAATATAATTTAGCCTTTTATTAATGATTCAAATTCTGGACTTGGAGTTAGGAGAACTGAATTTTATCTGTGGCTTTACAAATTTTATCTCTGAGCCTTGATCATTTCTTATACTCTGTCCCCTAGAGAGTGGTGGCAAGGGAAGAAATGCTATTTCTCATTTAAAAACCACAGGCATTGGACTAGCTGCTTTCTGAGGGAACCTCCACGTTTAAGATCTGTGATGACTGTATTTCATTATATAGCAATCCCCTCAGGGTTTAAGGGTGCTTATTTGTCCTCACACTGAATGATCCCAGGTGCTTTGTAGTTCTGACATTGCCCCTTGATGTGATCTGTCCCCTCATGCTATTGCCAATATGCCTTGGAAGACAATTAATTTACTTCTCTATTCTACATGTAGCATTTTATATACATAGTCTGAGTGAGAATCCAGGAGTGATCTTTCCTACATTATAGAGTGAGGTGTGTGGGTCTTGTCACAAAAAGCCACTACTTGGAGGCATTTGTCACTTCTGAGTTTGTGACTATGACAGAGGTCCCCAGAAGGCTGGCTTCTAGTTAAGCAAGGTGCTGTATTACATGATTAGATTTGGATATACTCCCGGTCACAGTCCATTCATTTAAAAGAGTAGAAGTATTTGTGGAAAAAAAAAAAAAAAAAGTTGCCTATAAAGCATATTTCCAAGTTTTACTCTTCCATATTAATTTTCATTATAAACTTGGAAATGTGTTTCAAGGGAGAATTTTTGGCCCTAAGATGTAATAAAATCATACTGCAGAATGCAGCAGACCTTATAAAAGCACATATTCAAGGGAAAATTCTAATTTTACAGCACACTTTTGTGTTCAACTTTTGTGCCTTACTTGGAGCAGTGAGGGTGTTTGGATTTGGCACAGCTGCTCCAAACATCTCAAAGAAACCCGCCGCTCCCCTGATTCAGAGAATCAGACTGCAGCTCTCATCCCCCAGCCCAGAAAAAGCAGCTAACTGGAATCCATGGCCCATTTTGGGTTGTTGAACTCCTAACAGCAGCTTTAGGAAGGCTGCTGGCCTTAAGCAGCACCTGGGCTGCCCAGGTTGGAGTATACCTCTGTGCAGCAGGAAGAGAAAGGAACAGAGAGGTTACAGCTCTGGAGGGTCTCTTGCAGTGATGGGCTGTCCCATGACCACAATTCCCTGATGATACATACAGCTGAGTGGGGTGCCTGGCAGAGCTTTTTAGATAATGTCCATTAAACTAGTTTTCTCCCTTATAATTCCCATAAGGTATGTTTGGCAAAAAAAATCTGGCTTGTAAAACAAAGTAAAATAGAGATAGTTGTTTGTATTATAAAAGGATGATTCTGCTTCACAAAAAAATTCACATTAGATCTTCTATAAATAATGAATTTAAAATATGGTGTGTACCTGTGTTTTGTTTGAATACAACTTTGAGGGCTGTTGTTTTAAGCCGGGTATACCTGAAGTGAGTGAATTTCTACATTTGGACTTTCTGATTCATGAGGCAAATCTGCCTATCAGCTTTCACCCTCAATTCATTTTTCCTTTATACATTTTTAGAGGGAAAAATGCATGTCAACTCACACATTTTGGGATCCAAATTTTCCCAATTACCAGTAGCTACCCTTTTCCTAACCCTCGCATCTTCCCCTTACTGGAAGCCACAACTGGGGGGTTCTTGTCTCCACTTGACTTCTTGCAGAGCTGTGTTCCAGTTCCTTTTGTCTGGGCACTCATGATATGGGCTTTATAAGTTGTCTAATATTGAAACGCTCAACTGAGATTTCAGAGTCTGAGAGGTCCCTGCTCAGATGGACAAAAAGCCAGTATAAAGGGGCCTGTAGCTCCCACTTTTATCCTATTCCACCTATTGATGTGAAGTCGATGATTCAACAGAAAAGAGCAAAGCCCCTTTCCCATAACCCCATTGCTTTTTTCTCTCCCCAGTAAGAAAATGGCGTGTAAAAAGTGCCCTGGGAGCGTTGGGCCAGTGGCAGATTGAGGTGGGAGAGCCAGCACCCCATGGAGCAGGGAATCTGGGGTGTGAACTCATCAAGGAAAGCAATGCCAACGTATGTTTATCTATCAGGTGTCTTGTGGAGGGGGTGCTAAGTGGGGAGCGGGCTCCTGGTCCTTGAGGAAAGGGACCATGTCTTGTTCACCTCTTCATCTCTAGTTTGCCCACCTGGATACAGTGCTCTAGAAAGTTTTGCCTGGAGTGGTCATCTCAGGGCAAGGGCTTCAGGCCTGGAATGTCACAGTGATAAAAGCATCAGAGGGAGCTGAGAAGAGCTGAGCATCTCCCATTGAGCCCATGGGCAGAGATTTGTGGCGGGGGAGCCATTCCTTTCTATTCCTCTCCAAGAACAGTCCTGGAGTTGGATTTGTCTTTTGCAGCCCATCTTCATGCGCAAGGACACCAAGATGTGTTTCCAGTGGCGGATTCGAAATCTCCCCTACCCTAAGGATGTCTATAATGTCTATGTGGACCAGCAGGAGCGCTGTGTTGTCGTCAGAACAACTAACAAAAAGTAAGTAGCGTGGGTGATAGTGGCCTGCTTATGTTTGAGCAGGGTGGGGGTGGGGTTGAACCTGAGTTAGGGCTCAGACTGCTACCTACCCTGGGTGGGTGGTGGTGGGGAGGGCAGAGAAGCCTCCTCTTCCAGCTCTGAGGGAGAGAAGGAAGAGGGCTTTACTAAAACCCAGTAGGTGATTAATGCTGAAAGGCTTCCTCCCTGCAGGACCAGCTATAATAATGTAATCAGCTCCATCAGGTCGGGGAAATTTGAAAAAGTGTCTGGTCTAATACCTGGCATATACTAGGGCTCAATAAATATTTTTTGAATGAATGAGGAGATGAGGGAATCACCAGGTTATTAACTTGTGATCTTAGGTGCTTCTGTTAAAAGGTTATTGTGACCTTGACCTCTGGATCCATGGGCTGGATCCAGTCCACGGTGAACTTAGCCTGGTGATACCACTGTTGGAGCTGGCAGGGAGCTAGGGCCTGGAAGGCACACCTGTCTGGGGTGGCAGTTACAGGACTTTCAAGTGCTGGTTTAGGAGTAGCAACCCTGACCCCTTCCTGAACTGAGGGACAGTGGGCAGGTGCTTTGGCCTCTTGAAAGTCTCTTGCATTATGTTTCAAAGGGCGCACTCCACTTCCCTTCTCTCTTCTCCTTGTGACATTTTGGTGGAGAGAGGCAAAATGAGGGGTTAAGGGGACAGAGGTAGCCAACATGGAGATTCGATCCTGGCAAGGCTGCTTCCAGGCTGACCGTCTTGGAAATGTATTGATCCTATTGGGTTTCTAGAGCTCTGACTAAGTACAGGAGGAAGAATAGCCCTGTAATGAATCAGTTTTACCATGGGCCAGAGGGATTGCAGTGTAGGGCCAACTCCTATGACATCGACTTGACATCGATTGAAATGGAAGATTTTATGAGTTACTGGTCCTGTGAAGCCACCCACGCTGGGTGCTAAGCTTAGTTTAGCTAACCTTACTGGTTTACATGCAGTAAGGAAGACCCAGCTCTTTGTCCATTTTCTTACATGGTGTGGTGCCAGCCTCCCCCCGCACCCCCCAGACCTCAGGTCCACCAGGCCCACAGGGAAGCAGCATGGTTCCCAGGCTCCCCCGGTGCAGCCCTGGGTCCTGCCTACTTCTTATGACCCTCCACCCCCCACTCTATCACTTCAGCAGTGTTAAGGGGACAGGGAAGGGGTAGAGATGAATGAATTAATTTCGGGATTATTGCTGTACATGCAGCCAGTAGCCCCTGCAGTGGGCCTTGTCTATAAATATAAAGTCATAATAATAAGGGTTTGCGTTTATAAAGCACTTTGAAGCCCTCAGACAAAAAGCACTTTATTCCTGTTATTGTTCTCATCATTAACAGGAGGCAGTGTCTAAAGTAGAATTTAGCAATTTCAGACAACAGAGAAATTGCCTTTAGGAAAACAAATTCCATACTTCAGCAAGCATTCCCTGGTGTAAGAGGCCTTGGGTCCAAACTGGGAACAAAAGTGCTTCTGATAGCACTTGAATCTGCAGCCCAGCAGTTTGTGGATCTGGCTGCTGCCTCCCTTTTGTCCCCCAGAGGTCACTGTCGAATACAGATATCAGGCAGAAATGTGATTACCAGGGAATGAGAGGAGAGAGACTAGCTAGCTCACCAAAAAATTCATCAGAGGGCAGATCCTCTGGGTCCTAGCTCTTGCACATATGCAGCCATAGGTGGCGCTGTTGGCCAGGAGCTCCATGGCTAGAGGCCCAGTTCAGGGCCCAAGGCAGGGGGGAGACATTTTTGAACTGATGGGTGAGGCCAGGAGGGATAGGAGTAGTGCCTTGGGATGGGGCAGGGCCAGGGATTGGAGGGGAGAGGATTTTGTCAGTACCACTTTGGAGCTAACACTGACCATCTGGTTCAGTGGCCCAGCCTAGCTCAACCCAGCTTTCCTCGGGCGCTTCTGCTGGGAGGTAGGCGAGAAGGGTCGCTAAACCCTTAATCCTGAGCTTAGTGGCATTTTCAACTTTTACCTGGAGTAGTAATGTGTCCTATACTTTTATTACCACTAATTAAACAGAACTTTATGGCTATTCCTTTGAGCAAGTTTAACTTTCTCAGAATACTTTAAAAATGTGTTTTCTGATTATCACTCCTCCAGAGGTGGGCAGGGTACATATCTTTATTCTTGTGTTATATAGTATTATATAAGTGTATCTGTAAAGTCAGCACAATGGACTGACTTGCCAAAGGTAAAGTTAGTGATGGTCTCAATGCCCAGGCATCTGCGGTTTCCACCACACCATGGCACTTCTGTCTGATTTTACTTCTTCACTCGCCTGGAAGTTCCGTGACTGCCCATTCGAATACGCTGGAATGTGGTTACTAATAAAAGCCAGAGTTCCTTTGTCCATACTTGCTTGTCCCTGAAGAACTGGGTTGGCTACTTTTCTTGAAGGAATTGATTCCAGTGTATCATGTCCTTGGCCTCAGGTATTAGTGAGGGAAGGAGGAAAGTCTTTTCCAAGATCCCAGTGTGGCACCATCTGTTCCTGTTAAGAGAGTTTGTGCAAAAAGAAAGTTCTTAGCCTCAGCCTAGAAGCTGGCAGCTGTAAGTGGAATGGGGTGCTGGGGTGGAAAGATGTCAGCTTAAATCTGGCCTCTCTCATGTATTAGTTGTAGTATTTTGATTTCTTTATTGATTTTAGAGAGAGAAAGAGAGAGATAGAGACATCGATTGGCCGCCTCCTGCATGCCCCCCACTGGGGGTTTGGCCCACAACCTGGGCATGTGCGCTGACCAGGAATCGAACTGACGACCTCTTGGTGCATGGGTTGACGCTCAACCACTGAGCCACATTGGCCGGGCTAGTTGTAATATTTTGGACAAGGCTTCCTCATCTACTACAGAATACTCATACCTACTTCACAGATTGGGGAATTTGATGAAATTGTATACATACAAATGGCCAGCCTTAAGCAGGTCTTCAACAATTCTTTGGAAATTAGAATGTGAAGGGAGGTTGGCTGATTTGGCATCAGTGATAAGTGACACTGTAGGAGGTGTTAATAGACATTGCTAGAAAAAAGTATTCTGTGTTCAAATAATTGTAGGAAACTGGATTAAAGGAGTTTCTCTTCAGGAGGACTTCTGAGAACCTTTAGTATGTGAGTGTGTATTGTGACTGTCTAGGAGGGCAGGGTGAACAGTTTTCCCAGAGCCTGATGTTTAAGAAAGAAGGAAGATTTGCCTACTTGTTTTCTAAGGGCTGGACTGGCTGGAGGCTTCTCTTGACTACTCTGGCCAACCCTGTGTGCCCCGTGGTGTGTGGAGCATGGCCCGTGCGACTGTCCACAGTGGTTCTGCTGCTACTTTCAGCCTTGTGTGTCTTTCTCTCTGAAGACCTGACTTCTGTGCCCTTTCTCAGTTGACTGCAAGGGAGAATGGGTTGGGAAAGGACTGGGAGTTGGGAAGGCGATACAGTGGGAAGACAGTGATGGGGTGTGGTAGGTCATTTCTGAGAGCCAAAATGAAGGAGCTGTCCTTTGGCACACATAGAGGAAAGTCAGCCTGCTCCGGCCTGTTGGACTGGCACCTGCAGACTTAAAGTTTATCTAGGACAGCCCCTTTATTTGAGGAGGAAACTGAGGCTCAAAGTTAAATGGCCTGTCCTACTGAGAGCCTTTGCTTCCACATGTCTTTTGAACACTTTTGAGGTTCAGAAAGAAAGACGACCATGTGTTAGAGAGAGTGCTGTGGAGACCTGCAGGGTGGCTAGATCCCTGAGGAGCCCACCTCCCATATCTGCCCCATCCTTGGACAGATGCAGGGAACGTAGACCAGGTGGTCTGTTACTTAGAAGTGAGAATGTAGAAAGATAGAGGGGTCAGGAGACTTGGGGAATTATCACTTGTTATTAGAGCATCACCATTTACCAGATTTGTGACTTGGGCAAGATCCCTAACTTTTCTGTGCCTGTTTCCTCTTCTGTAAAAGAGAGATAATAGAAGTAGTAACCAACCTGAGAAGGTTGTTTTGAGGAGTCAATGTGTAGAACAGCACCTGGCACAGAATAAGCATTAATAAATGTCACCTCTTGCTGTGTGGCTGAGACAGAGAGCAATGAAGGGAGATGAAAATAGGGGAGTGTTGGATATCTGCAAGAAGCCAGGAACCACCTGCTATGAGAGTTTAACTTTCAGCAGAGACACAACATGGTCTCCTAAGGCAGGGATATGGCCTTGTTTCCTCTTCATCCTTAAGTTCCGAGGCTCACAGCTCAAGGCCTGGGACACAGGTGATGCCTAAGAAATGTTTGCTGCCTACCTAAGGCTGCCTGAGGCTGAGTATTTTGGCTTCTCCGAAAGCACAGTGGGTCTCTCTCTAGTCCAGGTGCTGGTGAGAAAGTCAAGTGCAGTTCCTCTCAAGACAAACCCCAAGGTCAGGGAATGGCAGGGAGAGGGCTGCTTCCTGAAGAGAAATGGCCCATACTCCGTTGAACACTGCCCATCACGTGCTTCTGAGGAAAATTGTTTAACCTCAATAAACTAAACCCATTCAAATAGACTCAAAATAAAACTGCATCTCCAGACCCACTGCCTCCTTTCCTCTAACCTCATGAAAGATGGGATATAGGACAGAGGAGGCAAGCCACGCACCTCAAGCTCCCTTCAATCTTTTTTTTTGTGTGTGTGCGTACCCCTAGCGGAAACCGAACCCAGGACTCTCTGGTCCGCAGGCCAATGCTCAGTTGCTGAGCCGAACTGGCCAGGGCGCTCCCTTCAGTTTTGTTGCCATTTCCATAAGGCCAAGCTCCAGGATTCTTTTCCTCGTCCCACTGCCCCAGTCTGGGGAATGTGGCTTGAGAGTGCCCCTCTGAGGGTGCACAGGTATGTCCCTGTCCCTGCAGCACACAAGCCAGGTTGGCAGAAAGGCTGTCCCCATGCTCTACAGGGCAAAGCCTTACACAGACCCCTTGGGTTCAGCTGGGCTACAAGTGCCTGAGCTGCTTCTCTTCCAATTCTGCTTCTGTGTATATTTGCAAGGAAGATGTTAACACTTCCTAACAAGCCTTTGTGTTCATCTAATCTTTGCTGTTTAACCTTTGACTCCCCCCTATTATCAGTGTCTGCCACCTTTGCTGGCCAGACCAAGGGCCCCAGGAAAAGACCTCAGCCTGGGCTGCCTAGGAAGAGGATGAGGCCAGCATTCCACTCCAGTTTGCAGGCAGATGGATCACCTTTCCCTGGGGCAGAGCTTTGGAAAATAAAGCAAACCTGTAGTGCCATTAGGAACTCCCAGCCCCCACTCCTTTTGAACTGTCAGCCTTTAAGTAAACATTCTTTTCCTGCCATGGGTCCCAGCACCTTGGTGGGGAGTGGGAGACCTGGGAGGAGAGGGGCCCTGAAGAGCCTCTGCTGAACTAAGGGATTTGGGTAGGGAGAGCAGGGCAAAAGTGCTGCATTGATGTCAACTCTCTGAGTCCCCAGGGCATCAGGGCTTTTGAAGTGGACTCGAGGTAGCTGTCACCACAAGGACCAAGCTCCTCTGAAGTATTAAAAGCCCCATCCTCTCCAGCGCCTCACTTGAGTTGTTTGTACCTGCCTGCAGCGTTTCCCTTCCCAACCCACACATCCTCGGCAGCTGCAGTGATGCTCTGCCTGGGTGACAGGTCTGGCAGCCATTGATCAGAGTCTAGCTACACTTCCACCAAGGAAAATGCCATGCGGACCTATGGCTAGGGACAAGTAGGCCATTCTCTGTGCTCTGGTGTGATGAGAACCAGACAAGAAGCAAGGAACTTCAATCCTGACTTCATTGACACCAGGCAAGACATTTCACCTCTGAGCCCAAATTTCCTCTTTGGTAAAGGTCAAATTTCCTGCAAAACGAAGTCCAGTTATACACATTATGGTCTGGGTGGTACTGAGTTTTGCTTTTTGTTATTTTTACTAAAAGGGATCATTAATCTCTGGACTAGCACCTGCAGATGATAGTTGTGTGTGTGGTGTGTGAAAATAGAGGAGTGGGGCTCGGGGTCAGCAATGTAGTCCTGAGCCCCAGAGATCCAGCTTCCTTGATGAGTCACATGGTTCATCTTCTCGGGGAGTTTTCTCCTGTGGATGTACTTCCCTCTCTGGTCTACAAGTAGAGTCAGCTAATAAGGCCTTGAGAGATCCCAACAGAGGAAAAGGTAGCTGAGGTCTTCAGTGGAAGTCCCATGTAAATGTCAGCTGTCAGTCCCCAGCTTTGGGGGACAGCCCTAGATGTCCTTATTCTGCCCCTTGTTAGCACTTGGGGTAAAGAGGAGGTCTAGCTTGCTTGAGCTATCTGTGTATTCCATGTTTCTTCTACATGTCCTCGGTGGTCCCAAGCCTGAAGTATAAGTCATTCTAACCCATGGTCTAGTCAAGGAATCATGACCAATTCTGCTCTTCTACTGCTAGGCTGGTCATAAGGCCTTTCCTCTTTTTATTTCAGGGCCACTAAGCTCCAAAATAGTGGCTTCCCTTCTTCCTCTCTGGCTGTTGGAAGGTGTGAGAGAACTGTGCAGAAGCTTGGCAATACAGGGCCTGATGCCCAGTTGTTGGGGTAACCTTGTCAGGTGTCCCCATGATCCCTTTATGTCCCCACAGGTACTACAAGAAGTTCTCTATTACTGATCTGGAAAGATACCAGCTACCTCTGGATGATTCTTTGCTGAGCTTTGCTTATGCCAACTGCACCCTGATCATCTCCGTAAGATTCACACAGACTTCTTAGCCACTGCATCAGGGACAAGCTCCCTTTTTCCCTGCCCAATTCCCATTCCATGGAAGTCCCCAGTTGTAGCCCTAACCTCTGGGGTATACTTATCACAGAATAGGCATCTCTATTTCAGCATGGGGAGAGCAGAGTGGGGGCTCAGGGAGGAACCTGATCTTATGAATGACAGCTATTAGAGGATAGAGGGTAATGGGGTGGGGTGGAAATCATAGACTGGGGTTCTGGTTCAAGGGCTGCTCTTACCCAGCCATGTGACCTTGAGCAAATCATTCAACCCTGTAGGCCTCAGTTTCCTCACCTTTGAATAAAAGGATTAGAAGGGGCTGTAAATGTGGGGGGGGGGGGGTCAGATAACTGAATTATGTCCTCTTCCTGGCTCCATCTACAGTACCAGAAGCCAAAGGAGGTCCTGGTGGCTGAGTCGGAGCTGCAGAAGGAGCTAAAGAAGGTAAAGATGGCCCACAGCAGTGACAGGGACTGCAAGACCCAGTAGTGGACACCTGCACCTCTGGCTTGGAGGGTGGATAAGGCTCTTCCTGTCACCTGAAAGACTTTGCAGCCTGGGCCTTTCTGGCACCTCTTCTCTTCCAGGAGCTAACCAGGCTCTGTAAGAACTAAGACTCGGGGTACTCCGGCCTCCTGCATCATGGTCTTACCTCCTGAGTAAAGTCATTCTGAGTCACTGTGGGTAGACTTCCCTCTTATCCACTTCTGTGTGCTCCTGGGGAGGCAGGGTGCTGGAGTTGACATTCCCTTCTCTATCCTAGAGACCTTCCACATAAAGCTTCCATATAAAGGGAGGTATGGGCCTTCGATGGCAAAGGTGACGGGGGAACCCTGACCCCAGCTAGAGAGGGCCAGCATCTTCCCCAGCCTGTTTGCATAAACTCAGAAGACAACTAGGCTGGAAGGGGCCCTACACTACCTTAGCTTTCAGATGTGTCCCAGAGGAACTCCCTAAGTAAGATAGGGTGGGTGAGGGAGAAGTTTTTATTTAAAAATGCAGAAACCTTGGACACAGAGCCCAGGATGTGAAGACACTGTGGGTGAAAAGCCAGAATAAGGGTGGTAGCCTTGTGAAGAGTATGTGCATGTTGTGTTCGGGTGAGGAAGGGTCACTGCAGATGGACAGCAGCTTAGCCCCTGGCCACCTGGAGTCCTTTGATGGTCCCCTCCCCATACCCTCCAGATGACACCCACCCCACCACCAAAGGGGTAGGCGGGCAATGAGAGGGTTTCCTGAAGAAAAGAAACCTTTTGTTCTTCGGGACACTGGGCCGTGAGGCTGGTCTTACCCTTTCCCCAGCATGCACATCCCCAAATTTGCATCTGTTAGATTCAAATCCTCCCAAGACTCCTCAGCCAGTGAGAAACCAGACCTGTGAACAATCAAGCTTTATTTTTACAAAAAAGAACATTGTAGCATGTCTCAACAGCCGGCCTAAGGTTGGGCTGGCTGAGAACTCACTCAAAACTGCTGGGTTTCCTTTGTCCTTTCTTGGTTTCAAAGGGAGACAAGCCACAGTGCCTCAGAAATGAGTCCCCAGCCCCAAAAGCTTGGTCAGAGGTGGGATCTGACTTAGGAGGTAGGGGCTGGTGCCAGCAGGGGTATTGCCAGCCTCCCCTCCATCCAGGGAAAGGGCAGAAAGGGACCATTGGAAAGGCTGGAGCACGCACCTCACTCTACGCTGTCATGGCTCTACAAAGGGGTGGGGTGGAGGGCAGGGCCTCTCCAGGCCAGATCCTTGCTCTGGCCAACAGGAAAGCAAGCCCTGGTGGGTTCAGCTTCACTCTTCCAAAGCAGCAGGTCCCTTCTCTCCAACTGGTTCCTGGGAGGGACTGTGCCTCTAGGTAACCCAGATTCCCAGGAGTCAGCAGCCTTTAGCCTAAGGGCCTAAGCACTGTGGTCCCAGTTCTGAGAGCACAGGCACGGGGGTGGGGAGAAGTTATCACTGCACCCTCCAAGCAGGAGAGGTCCCTGAGTAGCTGGTTCCCTGGTCCACAGGCTAGGGTGACCCTGACTGTCACGGGTTTTGAAAGTCCAGGATGTGGAGGTTGTAAGACAGCGCAGCATAGAGATGCTTGGTGGTAAAGCGCAGGCAGTACACAGGACTGCTCAGGGGCGTCGACGTCAGCGGGAAGGCCTGCAAGGGAAGGCACAAGAATGACATGTGGCTCGAGTAAGATATGGCGGAGCCCGGACCCAGGATTTCCAGGCCCAGTGCAATAGGCCAGGCGCCATTGTGGGCTTCCTCCTACCTCTAGGCACACCCGCTCTCAGGTGCAGCCTGTAAAAATGAGTCCTGGCTTCCTAGGGGTGTGAGGTAGGCTGGATGCTTACGTGTAGGCAGGCCCTTTGGCGCCGATCCCACAGTCGCACAACACCATAGTAGGAGGAACCTGTGGCCAGCAAATGGTTCCCATCCGTCTGCAAGCAGTACAGGGTGCTGTCATGGGGCTCTTCCCACTCCATGACACACTTCCTGTCCAGGAAGAGGAGATGCAGGGGAGTTTCAGGGTGACCTCCACCTCCACCTCCACCCCCACTTCCGTATTCTAGCTGGGAGAGAAAGAAGCTGAATCATCAAATTCTCTATAAAACCAGCCTTAATGGGTAAAAGTCTCCTCAGTAAAGGTCTCTTTTTCATCAAGTCCCAGACCCCAGGGTGGATCTGTGTTTCACATGGCTGACTACATGTCATAGAACTTATAAGGCCTTGGGACAGGTAGAAAGGCCTCAAGAAAGACTGGGACAGAATGCTGAGGGGTGACACCCTGATGGTTCCCAAGGCTCTAATCGGCCTGGTGGCTACAGTCTCACAGGCCTCAGGGCCAAGACTGCCCAAGGTGGGGAATCTAAGCTTGATCTGACCTTGGCAGCTGCCCCCGACCAGTTCCTAACGTGGAATCACTGCACAGGTTTCCCACCACCTGTCCTGCCAACGCACTCACCTGACACTGGCTCGGAGGTCCCAGTATCGAACGTAGGTGTCATAGCCACAGGACAGGAGTGTGGAAGGGGACTCATACATCAGGTCCAGCACCCCAGCCCCTGGGGGAAAGTCACTGCCCAGGTGCGTCATCAGCTGCCCACTGGAGAGAGATGAGGTGCAGAGGATAAGCCATTGTCCCACATTGGCCAAACAGATTCTTTGAACTTCCAAATGGCATCAGTCCCTAAGGAAGTGCAGCTCTCCTTCCTGAGCTAGAAGTAGACTCCCTTAGGATGATGGGGCTGAGGGAGGAGATGGCCCAGACTCCCTCCCCTCGCATCCCAGTCCCTCCTCCCAGCTATAGGCCTCAATCAGCCACCATCAGCCCCTCCATCACACCTGCACGCTGGCCACCCGCCACCCAGCTCTCCTCAGGACGATGAATGGGCCTTGCTGAAGGGGTCGGGGACACACACACACACACACACACACACACACACACACACGGTTATTTTATACTCCTTGATCCTGCAGGTCATGCAGTTCTGAGCTGCCTGAGTCCAATGCCTTAATTCCCGCCTGTAATCTGGGGCTCAAACCTCATTGGGGATAAAGACCACACAAAGGGAGAAGGGGAGTCTCAGGAGATGTTAAAACAAGTAAACACCTTTGTGTCTGGGGAGAGAAATCGCTGAGAAAGCAGCTTAGCGGGCTGGTCCCTGGTGTTCCTGGCCAGGCTGGCCCCCAGCCCGGGGCGAGCACGCCTCTGTGATCACAGCCCCCAGCCTGCTGGGCTCCAGCTTGCTCCCCCACCCTCGCCCCTCCCGGTGGCCAAGAGCAGATTACTGAGAAGAACAATTTCTTTGTGACTGTGTAATTCCCTCCGTGACCGCGGCAGTGGGCAGACCCCTTGCCTGATGCCAGACCCCTAGCAACCATGTAGGGGGGCCTCCTGGCCCTAGCAACTACCCCTCAACATCAAGTGCACCAGCTAATCCCTGATGTTAGGGGACGGGTAGAAGCAGTGAGTTTGCAGAATGACGGGGAAATGAAGGAGAAGAGGGGCACCCTCCAGACTCCATTCCTTAGCACCCAAGAGATGCTGAATGCTGAGCTCTCCTCCATGTCATGACAGGAGAAACAAGGCCTTGGACACTTCACAGGGACACACAGGTAAGAGGCCTGGGCACAGAGTGGGGAGGACTCATGGTCACACCAGCCCAGCTTTGGCTGAAGCAGTGTTCATCAAAGAGCTTAAGGTAGACAAGGCTGCCAGTCACATGTGTGAATGTGGCCCTCAGTTCTAGTCCTTCCACCTCACACAGATGCTGATCCTCAACCTCTCTTCACCCCGGTGGCGCCTCCCTCTTCCCTGAAGGCTGAAGGAGTAAAGGAGGAGGCTGTGGGCTCCTTTCCCCTTGAGCCCTGGACAAGGAAGTGACCCTCAGTAAGGAACACTGTTGCTGTCTGGTAGGGGGTAGGCCCTAAGTCAGCACCCCTGCCCCCAACCTCCTTCCCAGGGCAGTGCCTGGGCCCCCAGGAAGCCCTGCTTCCCAGATGGGCCACCAGCCATGATTCCCCCACCCTGGGCAGGCCAGAGCCCTGAAAGCAGCTGGTCTCTCTCTTCCTCTCTCACAGTTACATGTGCGCACACTGGATAGGGGCTGTTTTGCTCCACAGTTCTCCCTCTCCTTCCAGATTGGGGGCCCTGCCCCCTCCATTAGTGAGGCCTTCAGGAATGACCGAGGCGCTCTCCCCTTTAATCTATAGAAGTAATTTCATGTTTGTCTGTTTGAAATAGAAGATGAAAGGCAGTGGGGTTGGGGGCGTGAAGCCCAGCATGGCTCTACCTGCCCACCCCTGGTCCCAGGGTTAAGAGGGAAGGAGAGCTGGGCATCCATGGCTAGGCAGGGTCAGCAGCATAAAGGCCACACCCAGCCGCTCAAAGCCTCTGTCCCAGCATCTGAGCCACCACTGTGAAGTGTCATGCCACAACATCTGTAATAAGAAATACAGAACTCTGGGGGAGACCCACGGTAAAAGAGAGCATCAGTCAGCCCCCCTGGGGGCCAAAACAAGTCCCAAAAGCTCCTCGTCTGCCAGCCTAGCCAGTGGCTGAGGGGTTTTCTTTCTGCTGCCCTGTTCTCTGATTCTCTGAAATGGCCACACACACTTTAAATGGGCCAGTAAAAAGATACAATTTCTCTTGCCTCTGGGCCCAGGACCTCGAGGCTCTGTTATGCAGTGCCCGTGAGGTTAAGTTTAGAGCATAAACTGACACACCATGCTCTGGGAACTGGCCGGTCTCTTCTAATAGCAGCCCAGCGGTGCCATAGGAGCCCTGCTGGGGTTTTGATTTGGGAAAACAAACAGAAATGGCACCATGGGCCCTTTGTGGACCCTACCCCAGGGCCAATTTAACTAGAAAACTCTAGCTCAACTGCTGTGGTGGAGGGAGAGAGACCTGCCCACAATAGCTCCAAACTTTGGGGGGAAGGGGGACAAAACAAGCTGTCTGTCTCCTCAGCCCCTCCTCTAAGCTGCTTTTCTTACTGCAAGTGTATTCTTGTAAAAAAACGATTAGATTGCAATTTGTATAACATGGTGACCCCCAAATTCAGACATTTCACCCCTTTTCTCTGGAAAGAATGTTAAGAATGCCTCTCGGCCTATCACTGTGGGGGGCGGGAGGGGGGCATTGCCTTGGCTGTCGAACAACTTGTGTGGGAACAGGGCTGCTGCT